TTAAAAACCCATATAAATAGCTTAGTGCAGAAATTAGCAAATTCATTTCAATGAAGTCCGGAATCCATTTAGGGGTCGGTTGGTTACCGGTTAGAGTTATGCAGGTATTAGTGTATACATGTATTAGTTTATGCAGGTATAAGTTATGTATGTATTAGTTATGCAGGAATAGGTAATGCAGGGATTAGTTATGCATGCAGTATTAGTTATGCAGGATAAGTTATGCAAGGTTGAGTTATGTTGGGATTAGTTATGCATGGATTAATTATGCGGGATTAGTTATGCGGTAGTTATATAAGGATTAGTAATATAAATGTAATATGAGTGTTATTTATTATTATCTTACTTTATTTTTATTAAAATTGTTTAGTATAGTTTAAATATATTTATTTAAACAAAAAAATACAAGTTTGAATAAAGGGTATTCTTGTCAATTTTGCGTTTTAATACAAGTATTACTAATTATGTATAAGTTATTCCACCTTCTACCTTGCATAAATAATACATAGATTCCCTCATAACTTATACATGTATTTAGTTGTACATGTATTAGTTATGCGGAAAAGAAAACACATAAACCAAACATTGTATTAGCCAATGCTATATTTTATGTGAAAAAGAGGAAAAAAACAACCAAACATTGTATAACTTATGCTAGCTTCTATGTGGAGATTATTCTTCCCCTTCTTTTAACCAAACAATGTATAAAGTTATCCTACATTTAATACATGGATAACTCCTCTCTAACCGGGCTACCAAAACGATCCCGTAAAGTATAGAAAGCAGATCAAGGGTGACATCTATATCTGTCACATATTAATAACCAGAATGACCATCAAAGGATTGAAACAAACGATTCTCGTGCACATAGTGCAACTATGATGTAATCCAAATCCCGCGGAAGAAACCAAGGACGGCCTTTCCTTTGACCTTTTCTGATCTTTAGCACCATTACTTTAAATAAATGATAGTTTTACGCTCAACAAGTAGCTGGTTGAAGTTGAAACATTGCACCGATGCTTGGGTCATTAAGTAAGTGGTGAAGTGCCTGTTGTTCCTAACTCACGATAAAATCTTTTTTGTCTTTTCGTGCATCATCTATGGCTATTTGGTCTATCTTGATCTGTCCTTTTTTCTTTTTGGGATAAGTCTGTTTCAGTCTTGTATTTCCTTATTTCTCAGCATAGCAAATGGAAAAGTGATTGCTGTTAATCTTCTGGTTAAGTTGGCACTTCACCTTTTGGTGGTTTAATTAGAATTCCTTTTTGATAATCATGAATTAATGTGGACTATACACTATACAGAGTCTGATTGTACTTAAATGAAAACTATACAAAAGGACAAAAAACAGTCGTTTCCTTCTCTGGAAATTGCAGATAAGTTTGTTAGAAACAGCACAATAACTGGCAGTGAGCAGCAGTCAACTAATAACTTGAGTTCATTGAGAACCAACATCCATCCCTTAATAAAGCAAACTAATAGAGAAGGAAAAACGGAGTTTAGAATATCAAAATATCAGCCAATATAGGGAGTGAAGGAAGACTTATAATCTCTTTTGGGTTCAAGAAATCTAAAATGTCTATCTTAGTCAAAA